TGACGACTCCGTGTTTCTTAAGGGACGTGCTGAATTAATTATTTCGCCAATCACGTGGTCTCGACTTGTAGAAATCTATTCTTATCATCTTCCTCGCACTTTGAAAATTCTCCGGGTTATGAGCGGCCCTCCCCCGGCTGCCGCCGAGCCCCGGTCGCCCAGCACGGCGTGGGGGGCAGGGAGGGCTCCCCAACATGGCGCCGTCTGCCGAGGGTCCGATTTACTCTCAGCGGGCTCAGCTATGGACTCACTTCCTCCTCATCCCTGCCGGTGATTCAATACACACAGCGGTATTGATGTATTGGTGGGCACAGGAGGAACCATTAACCAGAAGACGGGCAGAGGACAATCATAAAATGTGTCTGAATATTTAAACTTCTGTCTGCGCACTTATAAATACACATGTCCACGCGTCTGGGGCAAGCCCTTCCATATATTAAGGACATATGTCCTATTTTATGCATTCTATTCATTTCCTGTCTCCAGCAAGACACCCCCTGTCTATTTTAGAACTCCTGTCTTGGCCCCCTTTTCAAAGCTGAGGCCAAGATGTGGGAAAGCCCTCGTGATAAAAATAGTGCATGGTACTTTTTATAGTAGAGAGTGTTTATTGTTGTCTGAGGGGCCAGAGGGATGCAGGGAGGAGGGGCTGGTGTTGGCAACCCCAGAGGGGTTCAGCAGCCCCAGAAAAGTAGGAGTGCAAGATGAGAGGCCAACCAGGTCAGATCAGAATGACCACCACCACCAGCCAGCCTACACTGGGCCCAGAACAAACACTCACCCAGCCTCTGGAAGGTTTCTCATACAACACACCAGGAAGACTTCCTCTGAAAGGGGGTGGGGGGTCTAAGGACTGGCCACGACAGAAAGACGATTTGAAGCCCCCTAGTAGCTCAAGCAGTTGCTTCTCTTTCTTTCAATAAATAATGCCCTCCACCTTGGAGCCTGGATCGGTATCAGGCTTTCCAATGCTCACAAAGTATAGTTGCCAAACAGGGAGTGGGAGGGAAGTGTAGAATTGCTAGACCTTGCATCGCTCAACTTTCACACCATAGGCACCAAATAACTTGGTGTCAATTTTATTGCAGAAAATAACAAGATAAATTGTTTCTAATGAATGTTGGCTTCTGGAAAACTTAACAAAGAGTCTCTATCAAGGCACCAAACAGGAAGATTTTACTATACTTTTTATTATTCCAAATATAGATCAATGAATTACATCAAAACTACAGGCAACAATTAATATAAATAATACTTTAATCAGTGGCAGTAAAACATGGTCAATTCTATTTTAAAAAGCATCTTTGTGAGCAGACTCCAAGGGGCTGACTGACAACATCATCTCACAACAAAAGGCTGCCATGGACAAAGTGAGATGGGAGCTAGAGGAGCACTGTCCTCAGCAAACATTCCACTCCTCAGCCCCAGTCACGACCCCGAACAGGTTTTAAGACACCCAAACAAACACTTCTGGCTCATATTTGGGGGGAACAAACTGGAAATAAATAACAGCAAATGGGCACTAGAGCCCTTCCACATCTTGCTTTCTCTAGAGCAGGTTCCCAGATGGAGACTCATTTCCTTCCCTGTCCTAGGTGACTGGGGTGGGGGTGGGAGTGGGGGCTATCCCTTCCCTGGTCCGCTCTTTTAGGCCCAAATGGGTACTGGGGTCCGAAAGGGACTTCAGGACTGGCAACTGCTCTCTAGGCCTTGCAAGCACCATTAGCATTTCAAAAGACAATCCCTCCCAGCTGAAAGGAAAAGCTGAGACTTAAAAACAAAGAAGTTGTTTCTCCAACTAAGTTACTTTCCAAAGTAGTGAGGCTATGTTTGAGAAGAAGCTGGGCTTTTCTTCAGGAAAGCATACTCAAGGCTTTCCTTTGGGGCAGGAGGAAGGAGGAATAGAATTTGTTCTGAAGCTGGATGAACACCAGAACTTCTGAAGAGAGGGGGAAAATCTATATAATAATCTCCATAGTTGAGTATATAGTTGAATATTATGAAAATATGTTCTCCCCACCCCAAGGACATGGTTCAATGTATGCTCAGATTTGGCTTTTATGGAAGAATCTTAGCAACTTTCCAATTGGCCCAAGGATAGCAGCTCTTTTCAAATGCAATATCCAAAGACTGTCTGCATGTTACAGGGAGGGGGGAAAAAAGAAGAGAAGAGAAGGGTAGTTACAGTCCAAAAGGTTAAGGGTTTAGAGGTCAGTCCTCCCGGCTGAAATACAGCTAATCGAACAGAAAATTTGCCCTCTGGATGAACCTGATTCTGTAATTTAGCCGAACTTCAGTAAAATACCTTTTCAGCTTCTCAACATGAGGGCGTCAGAAAAAAGACGTGTTGACTATGTATGAACTCTTTGCTTTTTGTCATAGAAACAATGATGCAAATAATGCAGGAATATCCATCTTTAATATCCCGACGTGGTGATATTCAAGTATTGCCATGTGCAAGTCTGAGAGCCAGGCTCACCCCAAGGAGGAACAAAGAGCTTTCCCCAGGGTCTAATACAAAAGACCAAGGCTTGAAGATACTTCAGAGAAGCAGAATTTCAGTTTAGGGACTCCAGCTGAATCCTTGCCCTGAGCCCTCAAGAGACACAGAACCAAAGACCAGGCCTTTCCCTCCTCCACTTAAGTCTATTTTTAAAACAACCACTGGAACCTTCTAAAGTGTTCTGAAATGCTGAAAAAAAGTAACAGCATTATTGATCTTATGATTAAAATTTAAGTTTACCCCTCCCCTATTTCTAACTTGGTGGGGAGGGACTACAATCAAGGGTTTCTGTTTTGAGCCCAAACTTAGGGGTTCAAGCTTTCTAAGACTTGTATCATTTGAGTATATAATAAAGTCTATCTTTACCTTGAACTCATATCCTCCTTATCCTTAAGGGTTAGTGTTTTAAGAGAATGGGATTTGAATTCTTCCCAGACATAGAGTAAAATATAAATAAATAAATCATCTTTCCTGTTGTTTGAGATTGTTTTAAAGTCACAATCTTCAAGGTAAAGAAGTGGGCCTGAAAACTTCTAGACTTTTATAATTTCTGCTTCTAATTAATGTTTGGAGAAACACTTCAGGGGGAAAAAAGAACACTTTAAGGGAAATCTCTTTAAGATCAACTTTTGTGGACTTCTAAAGTCTATTAGTTCCTTTTTAAAAAGAAGACTTCCTTACCTTCCCACTTTCTCCCTACTGCATAGCACTGCCCTAGGATAGGCCATACATTGAGTCCTATAAAACCCTGCTATGTGAGGTACTTGGAGCATTTGGAATCCAGTTGGAATAGAAAATTCTGACATTATCTGATGACCCAGGGCTTATAGGTTTTGTTTTCTTTCCCCAGAGGAAAATATTGAACCATTTGTTCCTTTCCCCTCTCTCTTTCTTTCAACCACCCAGAACTGCTTATAAACACAGTGCTGCAGCAAGCACATGTGGAAACACATTTTCAAAACTCGGTTTTCCTGGGTCCTTGGCTTCCCTCTTGAAGG